GACGCACACACCCAGGCGGAAGAAGAAGTAGTCCGACCAACCGAGCGTCACTTAGACAACATCTCAATAATTTGGATACTTTTCACCATGTTTCTGTTTAGGATACGCCTCATCTCAGAATGCGTAAGTTATCAAAAGTATCGATATTTGGATTTCAGAATCGATTTCAGAGCATAAAGATCCAGAATCGGAAGTATCGATATTTCAGGATCGATCCGCACATCACAAGTAATCGTAAAATCTCTATACTGTTTCTCCCTTGCGTTGCTTTTATTTCCGTCTCTTGCATTCTTCTTGGTTGGTCATTTTTTTTAAACATTTTTTTTGTGGTGTACGGACGCTCTGTGGGAGAACCCTCAATTTCACTGCACCCCTGAACATAATGACAAACAACTACACCGCAGGTGTCTGTGTACATCACCTGTACAGTGTGTTCATTAAAGCCACACTGACTTGACATTTGAAGTTAAATACACCTGCAGAGACTGTACTGAGATTATACTTACCTGGTTTACTGTCATCGTCACTCAGAGCATCACTCAGATCAAAAGCATCCTGAGACAGGACTAAAAAAGGAGAAAAAGATGGAAACGCATACATCAGTCTCAATCTGACAAAAACTACACTTGTTTTTAATTATTTTAGATAGTGCACAGTGGTCATACAAGGCCTGTCCTTGAGCAGTGTGCTTATACTCTGTCAAAACAGCAAGTTTGCATTGTTTATTTAAATGCAGTAAATTCAGTAACATAATCCGGTCACAGTCCTAGCTGTAAACGGCATGGCTTCATTTAAAGCCGGAATATTGGCTTGAACCAGAACTTCTCAAATAGTGCTGCATACAATGCTTTATGATGATAAACAAGCCTACAGTCAGTAGAGGGCAGCAACTCAAACAGTGGTTTGTCCAGATAAGAAAATACATATTATCAGGTTATCAACAGTATTTCATTTTGGAATGGCATGAAAAAAATCCTGTCCTCTACGGGATGACAGCAAATAATCGAGAACCACTGGCCTAAATCAGTGCTGGAAGTGAAAAAGTCTTTGTGACAAAAAATGTCTGTCACCAAGGACAGCAGTCCCCAAACTTTTTGCGCCTGGACCGGTTAAACGTCTGAATTTTTTTTTTTTTTTTACGGACCATCCTTTAAGGTGTGGTGGATAAATACTAACAAATTAAATATGACTGGCATAAAAAACTGGTATTTTCTCAATATACTAATAAACGTCAAGTGTGTGCTACTTTATTAGCAGCGTCCTTGTAACATCGCACTTGTCTGTGAATGCAGAATGTTTGGTCTCCTTCAAGTGGTGAAGCAGTTTTCAAGGCTTCACTGCCTCATTAGAGAGCTGTTCGCCACATATTATGCAGCGCGGGCTCGGTGCGTGGGAACAACCTGTCTCAATAAATCCATATTTCAAGTAGGACTCCTGGAATTGTCTGTTAAATGCAGCTTTCTTTTTCTTTGAAGACGAAGGCTCTACTTCTGTCTCCTCATTGGCTCTTTTACGTTGCACTAAGAAGATGTTTGTTTTTTGTACATTTTGCTAACTTAGAGGTTTCAACTTTGCTGTAATGTATTATGTGTTACCGGCTCCAACTTCTTTTAAGAAGTTAGCGGATGTAGGTAAGACATGTGACCTCTGTGTTAGCGTAGATCAGTGACATAGGCACTTATGCACAGTATGCGAGTTCAGAGTATTGTCTGTTCATTGCCAATTCTTTGCATTTTGGCTAGCATTTAATATCATTTATTATTTAAAAGCACTTATTTATGATCAGACTGTTTTTGTTTTGGCAGCTAACCCATGTGTCAATCCCTGAAAACAGATTGTCTGTCACGTGTGGGCATCGACATTGCAGGAAGCAGGCAGGACCCAAATGCAGGTAGTTTATTTGAAGGTTCTAAATTCCAAAAACCAGGACTGAAGCATATACAAAGTCGAGCAGAGCTGAGAACACGAAGGGAGTTGAGCACAGCAACGGACTTGCTCGGGAACAAACTGGGAACAGCTACAACAAAAAGCTCGACACAACGCTGGCACGAAAGATACAGCGCTCACAAAGACAGCGCTCATGAAAACAGTCACTAACTGACACACTGATCCAAACTACAATAATCCCACTACAATGATCCAACAAGGGCAGAGTGAGGGAGAGAGGTATATATACAGGGAGCACCAGGTGACACAAGTGAAGCTAATTACAGACACAGGTGAGTGTGATCACACAGATTACCAACCACAAAGCAGACAGCAGGAAAAGGGAACAGACAGACATGACAATGTCTAAGTGCACTGAACTTTTGAGGGCTCATGTCTCTGTTAATAATAATTAAGCACCAGTGGAACCTTCAACCTGGAACCTTCCGGACCCAAGTCAAGTTTTCTCCCCAGAGAAACTCACGTTACGCAATAAAACAAATTGCACAAGGGAACGAGTTAAAACGCAGAGCAAACGAATACAATGTCATGCAGTGCTAAACGTACAATACAGCTTGAAATTTGAATTTGCCAGCTGTATGCCATACATTAGATTGACATTGGGTTGTGCTACATTTGCTTTCTTTTGTTTGTGTTGTTTTTTGGGGTTAACAGCACACCCCTAAAATACCTTTCTTCCTCCGTCTTTTGGTCTTTGACCAACAGCAGCCACTGTACAGTGGGGCAAAAAAGTATTTAGTCAGCCACCAACTGGACCAGGACGGCCGATCTGTGTTAAGGAAAGAATGAATGGCCATGTATCGTGAGATTTTGAGTGCAAACATCCTTCCAACAGCAAGGGCATTGAAGATGAAACATGGCCTAGTCTTTCAGCGTGACAATGATCCCAAAGACACTGCCTGGGCAATGAAGGATTGGCTTCATAAGAAGCATTTCAAGGTCCTGGAGTGGCTGAGCCAGTCTCCAGATCTCAACCCTAGAAAATTGGAGGGAGTTGAAAGTCTGTGTTGCCCAGCAACTGCTCCAAAACGTCACTGCTCTTGAGGAGATCTGCATGGAGGAATGGGCCAGAATACCAGCAACAGTGTGTGAAAACCTTGTAAAGACTTACAGAAAACAATTGACCTCTGTCATTGCCAACAAAGGGTATATAACAAAGTATTGAGATGAACCTATGTTATTGACCAAATACTTACAGTTGACGTGTACCTATGATAAAAACTACAGGCCCTTCTCATCTTTTTAAGTGGGAGAATTTGCACAATTGGTGGCTGACTAAATACTTTTTTGCCCCGCTGTTTTTTCCCCTGTTGGTCACCATTAAGCTGTGATTAAAGCGTACTGTTTGTTGTTGGTTCTCAAACCTGCTATGCAGATCCCAACTTCTCGAAAGGACAAATAAGATGATGGGGTAGCTCTGTTTATTTGTCAGATGCAATCTATGTATATCATTTAGATACAACCTTTGTTGAGCTGTTATAAAGGCAGCTTACAATGCAACGCTGCCGCAAGACCCATCTTTCTAACTATCTAACTACTATCTATCCATCCATCCATCCAATCATCCATCCATCCATTTTCACCAGGTCGCGGGGGCAGCAGTCGCCACCCAAATCACATTGCACCATACCAACCCCCCTAAACCTTCCTGCGGGTGGTGAGTCCACTGGAAGGTACCAATCGTACCTAACCGGGATTCGAACTCGCCCAGGAGGTGAACCCTGGGGTTCCACACCAATGACAGAGACATTGCCTCTGGGCCAAAGCGCCACTCTAACTACTATCTATCTACCCTTAATTCCTTTAAAGAATCGAGTGGTAGGCACTCGGGTCAATCCCAGCGATCAACAGGCGAAGGCGGGGTACTCCCACATAGCCAGTTCACCAGTTTATTGCATATGAAAAACAACATTCATGCTCACATTCATTTACCTATGATCAAAGAGTAGTGCTACAAGAGAAAATGTATCTTCTTCAACACAGTTTCCATTAAAATTATTAAAGCCTGGTAGGCAACTTGATGATGCCTTGATGATAACTTCTTTGTTGGTCTGGTTGGTTTTGCTTAGTCATTCAGTGCTGTATAACAGCAGTCCCCAACCTTGTTTTTTTTTTACCAAAGGACCAGTGGCCGGTATCAGCCATTACTACGGACTAGCTATGCTGTGCCATCTTTGAAGGATCAATACATTTTCTAAATAAAACTTATATTATTATTACTATATTTTCAACTTCTTTCTGTAACAGAATCTAAATGACCTATTGTTTTGAAACATTTCCAGAATATAAAAAACTAAGAAAGAAAAAACAAAAAAGTAAAGGAATATGACTGTTTTTGTTAATGAGGTAAATTCGTAAAACTGAAGTACAATTTTTCACCGTGTACCACTGCAGCCTGGTACCAAACGACCTGTGGACAGGCACTGGTCCCAGGACCAGGGTTTAGTGACACCTGCTGTGTGACATGAAATTGTTTGCACAACCTTCTAGTACTAGCAATGATTAGCTACTAATAAGTAATTATAAAAAATGTCCTACAAACTGACATCAAACACATGTTTTGGGTTTTTTTTTAATTGCTTGGTGACTAAAATTAGGTGCTAAATGAAAATTGCTTCCTCAGCATTCGACTCTAGAGATATATACATATATAACATAAATACATATAACAGAGATCTTGGTTATTTTATTTTTTAACTGTAAAGTTAAAAATAAGTAAGTAAGTAAGGTGGGTTAAAAGCAGAGGTTCAATTTTGTTGTATCCCCATGTTACAATGACAATAAAGACTTTTTTTTGTTATTATTATTATTATAGCTTAAACTTCGTTGTCGAATTTGTCACAGCTCTGGCTTCTGGAAGCCGGAGAGGTCCAAGTATGACTTTCTGGTTTCACAAAAGCGGATTACAATTAGCTCTTGGAAGACTAGGTTAAGTTAAGTTTGAGTGGCGCTCGTGTCCGACTACATATGAAGGCTTCCTGAATTGAACTCATATAACACGAACCATGTCGTGGAGCGAGAAATACTGTTGCATGTCTATAACGATTACGACACACTGTAAAATAAAAAGGGCAACCGTGTCACAGCCACAGGAGACAGTGAAAAGGCTTGGTAACGAATTGAATGCGTGAGTATAAATGGGAAAGTTATTAGTCCCCGTTAATTGCAGAACTGTTCAGCCCAAGTGTGTAAAATTATCAATATATATATATATATATATATCTCGCCGTGTCCACACCTGCCCGTTTTAAATTTTAATCCAGATTTAACCCAACAGAGATAAAAAAGGACTGGGCAGCAAATACAAAAAGACCAAATACAGAAATGTCGTTGAAACAGGGAAGAATAACTTCTGCCCCCTGTTGGGGCTAAAAGATCAGTGTGATCATCTTCCCAGACGTTAGTTGTCTCTTCATATGTCTGAATAATTCCGCTGTGGTCTGTGGACTATTAGGGAAATGATATTCAAATTACACAAGACAGTTTTTTGTATGAAATTATAATTTAACTGTCAACTTCTTCTTTCCCTTTTGGCTTGTCCCTTTTTCAGGGGTTGCCACAGCCAATCAACATTTTCTATCTCTCCCTGTTCTCTGCATCTTCTACTCTGACTCCAACTATCTGCATGTCCTCCCTCACTGCATCCAGAAATCCATAAATAAATGAAACCATACTGTTGTTCACAAATCTCCACTTCCTGCCTCAACCTAGCTTCCACTACTCGTTCCCAAATCTTCATTGTATGGCTCATCAACTTTATCCCGCTGTATTTGTTACAATTGTACATCAGCCTTCTTATAAATTGGCACCATAACACTTTTCCTTCACTCATCAGGCATCTTCTCGGTCTCTAAAATTCAGTTAAACAACCTAGTCAGAAAATCTACTGCCACTGCTCCTAAGCACTTCCATACTTCTGTTAATAACTACTTTACTGTAATTTAACTACTGTCAACTACTTATTAATACAGACACTTTGCTGATGTGTTGCAGTCGTAGTGAAGGGAAGTCCGACTCTTTATTGATTCGAATCTTGGACTCTGAACAGTATCATTTCATTCGTTTTACAGCAGGTGGCGCTTTAGCCTTATTGTGGGCGTTGTAAAGAAGGCTGCGGTTCTCCGACACTAAATACTGAACATGGTTTGCTTCCGCTGACAAAGTCTACAAAGTACACAAAATGCCATAAGCAATTGAAGCCATGCGAAAGGCTAAGAAAAAAAAACACACCACAATGTGAAGATGAATGAGAGCAAAAGAGACCCGAGCTCTCTGGCGTGTGACAAATGAAACGAATCTGCGAGAACGGAGTGAAAGATTAGTTCACGGAGAATGATTCGTTCATAGTGATTAGTTCACAGCAAAAGATTAGTTCACAGCGAAAGATTAGTTCACAGATAAAGATTAGTTCATAGAGAGTGATTCGTTTGCAATGAAATATTAGTTTGCAGAGTAATTAGTTCGTATTGAAAGATTAGTTCACAGTGAAATATTATTTCGCAGAGAGTAATTCGTTCGTAGTGAAAGATTAATTCGCAGTGAGTTATTTGTGAGTGATTCGTGAGTTCAATATGAACAAATATTTCATGACTCGGGGGTCACGAGTCATATGAAAGATTCGTTCATTTTGAACGAATCACTCGCGAACAACACATCACTATGCAGTAGTGATGTACCAATTTCAAACTTGCACCTTTCTTCACAGAGCACTGCTGAAAGTGTGCGTTTCAGCGCAACGGCAACGCTCCGCCCACATCCGCACACAGTTGCCTCGACTACGTTCTCAGCATCACCTATGTTATTAAGGAAACCTTGCATCCGTTTCCTGGTATCAATTTCTTCTAAGCAACTGAGCTGCGATGTCCGCAGGCTCCTCAACAAACGGCCACGCCCTGCATATGACTGGTCCTCAAGTCTGCTTAACTCGGACTTAAGGACCTTAAAATTGCTACGGAGCCGGTTTTCTCCACGGCGTATGTGGCCATAGCACCCAAGTCAGCGTCACGGTCTAGCCGACTTCGTGAAACCTGAAAGTCAGAGTTCCCTCTAATACAGAGTTAACGAACTCTCTTTAGCACTAAGCCCGCTTCAAGAAACGGACCCCAGTTCCGAACAAATGTCCGGTAGATCGATGCGTCTCAATTCAGACGAACACACAACAGAGTGTAGGGACATGGTTTATTGTTGTTGTTTTTTTTAATTTCCCTTCTGCTTGCTCATATTTACACATTGCTCCGGGGATAATTTTCTTTAAAATTCAGTCAGTAAAAACAATAAATCGACCAATCCAGTTATGCTAAAACCTACAATATTCCATTCAACACGAATACACAATCACACAAACTATGGTTGTTTTCAGTGCTACTACGGATATATGTAGTGAACGGATCGATACACGAAAGTAAAACAGTAATAGACAATGTTGGTGTGATTAAATACATATTTTTTTTAAAAATATATCTATTATACGATTACACTACGTAATTAAATACATTACAGACTGCCACAAAGTGAATAGGAGAAAGTGAATTCACTTCTTCGTGTTATAGGAGCAGTGCTACAAACAGCTCGTATGGATGAGAGCACGTTGTTACTCTGGCAACGTAAACTTAAATAAAAATGAATGAGTGTTGTAGGCCAGCCTCGGGCCAGAGAGCTGCACCGCAGCTGAGAGCCCACCGACATCCCTACCTTGCAGCGGTGGCAGCAGCAGAAACAGCAGCAACAGCGGCAAAACACTCCCCCTAACAGTCCCCATGGAAAAACAGTTAGCCATGGCTGCTCTATCCACGAAGCAACACTTAAAGCCCACGTGCGATAAATCAAACTGCTGTTCTACAGACCGGCGTTTTTCCCAGACAACCGCAGTTAGGGCGTTCCCTTAGCTTTCTGACACGCTACTTCTTTTTGTTCCACACGCTGCACGCTGTCACACCAGACTGCTGTTGCCCCTATCAGGCAGGGCAACGCCACTGCACTGTTACACCAAGACCACCAAATTCTTCTGGTCCTGACTGTTTCAGTGAGAATGGTGTTTTACTACAGGCACAGACGCTTCGAGGCACTTTCTTGGGGGAAAGTAACGAGAAGTAACGAAGTGTTGCCAGATCGTGAGACACCAACAAGCAACTAGGTCCGCAAAGAACCCATACATACGCTACACGACCCACTACTCGTGGACTAAGTCTGAGGACAGCCAGGTTATGTAGTTTACACTTAATTGTGTTCATGTAGTATTTGTTTGGCTTTTGTTAGTTAGTGAATTAAATACTCATACTTAACCATATAAAGTTTAACTCAAACTATGCATTAAAAACAATTGTGTGTCCCTAATTTTATTATTTTACAAAAGTATCTATCTACCTACTTACCTATCTACATACTTACCTATCTACCTATGTCTGTCTTTCATGGTTTCATGAATTTGACAGTTAGCTGTTGTTTGACATACTTACCTATTTATCTATCTATCTTTCATGGTTTAATGAATTTGACAGTTAGCTGTTGTTTGATATTTTGACATCCTGCAGTGGACTAATGTACCATCACTTCACTATCATAGGATTGATTTGACAGATGTGCTACTGTACACTAACAAATTAGACCACACAAATGAGAGGCTTAGAAATGCAAAATTCATTGGGGAAAAAAAACAAGATATTTGACAGACATTAACATTTCTTCGTATACTTGAAAAGTCCAGAATATGAAACATCTGAACAAACAAAGGCCTATATATATATATGATAGTGTCCGTTAGTCATCATGGCTGCTGTAGCTGCTGTTCCAGCATCACTTCACACGTACGTCCAAGTTCTACCAATTTGACTTTGGTGTACTCTGCTCTGTTCATGGCCATCTGACAGTCCTTCCTCGCTGAATACGTCGAGCCTTCATGAGGCTGGCCAGTAGCAACCTACAGAAAGAAATATGAGAATTATTGTAAAAGCATATATGAAGACTTTTGACCGTAAAGCTGTCTTAAAGCTTAGCTTCCAGTCTCTTGAATGCAGTGCAACCCTTTGCTAATGCATATGCCCTTTAAAGCAGTGGTTCCACAACTCCCGGGTCGCAGACCGGCACTGGTTCGTGGGTCAGTTGGTACTGGGCAGCACAGAAAGAATGCATAACTTACATCATTTCCATTTTATTTATTATCTGATTCTGAGCAATGTTTTATTTTGAAGAATTAACAGATTCTCTCCATCGCATTTGTCTATGACTCACACTTGATACATGTCAAGATGCTTGCCTCGGTCACATGTCTTACCTACATCCGCTACCTTCTTAAAAGGTCTGCTCCGGTTGATAACACATAATACATTACCGCTGAAATAAACCCCCCAAGCTAGCAAAATGAACAAAAAAACCAATGCCTTGGCGTGAAAACATTTCTGTTCCCACCGGGGGGTCATGACAGAAAATAATTGAGAACCACTGCTCTAACGAGGGAATGAAGCCTTCAAAACGTCTTCGCCAAGAGCTCTGCATTAAAAGACAAGCGCGATATTATGAGGACACTGCTAATAAAGTAGCATACACAGTGGCTTAACGTCTATTATTATAATTAGAAACTACCTGTTTTTATGCCGGTCGTATCATTTTGTATCATAGCGTATGATAGTCGTATTTATCTGCCACACCTTAAAGGCTGGTCTGTGAAAAAATACTTCAGACATTTTACCGGTCCGTGGCGCAAAAAAGGTTGGGGACCCCTGCTTTAATGAACATCATCATATAGTGCTTGTTGACAGAGTTGCTGTACAGAATAAAATATACATGTGTGGAAGGCCCTTTTGCCAGTAAATAAAAGGCGAAAAAAAGAAAAATGAATATTTACAATAATATTCTATCATAGGAGAAATCAAAGATGCAGAGATTTATAATGTTAATGGAGAACATGATTACAACATCAACCTCATGGTACTAATGTCTATTATGATATTGAAAAACACTGTTTTTCTGGGGGGGGGGGGTTCCTGGTTCCTGGTTTTTCCTATCTTTTAATGTTTTAAAGATATGTGAAACAGGTTTAATTTAAAGTTTGCACTTTTGATTGAGATCTCTTGATACTCACATAATCACAATAACCATGAGTTTTTACATTCCTAATTACCCTGGCTTTTTGAAAAACGAAAACTTTTCTAATCCACTCGAAGGGAGAAATTGTCCTTCTAAAAAATAACTGAAAAGAATATAAAACTTAAGATATAAAACTTTCCCTGTAATAAAAATCCCTCAAGTGATCTACCTACATTAAAATGTTAACATATATTTACTAATAATAACACAACTCAATATTAACTGACGTTTTATGCACATCACATGTTTAGCTACTGATTAAAGGCATGTAGCTTTATTGCACATGTAATTTAATTAGCACTCCCTTCGCGATCTACCACTAGATCCTGATCTAGTTACTGGCTGACCCTGGTTTGTGTACAACTACAGATGGTCTTTATTGGACACAGTAGGTTGTGAGTGGTGATACAATGGACAACGTAAAAGTACAAGCCTGTGTTCACCTGTGTGAGGTAGCGGATCTGAGTGCTGAGTTCACTCTCCACCTTGTTGACCGAACTCTGAAACTGGCCCAACTGTCTGTCCAGAAGGCTGGCGTTGTGTTTGTCTTTGGAGAGCTCCAGAACGATATTACCTGCAAAGATTTTTTTTTTCAAATCAAAACAAATATCGTAAATAATTGACTGGAAAATGCCACTCGGGGAAACACCCTGTGCAACCCAGTAGTATTTGGATGCAGGAATGTCACTGTACTGCATATGCCTCGTTATTAATGGAATATATGTAGTGTAAATAAAAAAGAGCCTTCTTGCCGGCACACTGCAGAATCATCGCTATCTCCTTCTCCACGTCCTCCAGGGCTCTCAGCCGCTCATTTGCCATCGGTGTGGTGTCTTGTTAGATCTTGTCCCAACACAAACTACACAATGACTTGGTCCAGACAACCCCGGTCCAAGATACCTCGTTCGAATTCTACAAAACTACTAACGATGTCTTCAAGTTTGGAACTGCCTTAAACATCACGACTTCGCTCAGACCACAACAAAGGGCTCACTAAATCAACGTCATACCGTCGCATAGCAGCAACGTCAGTTTAGAAGTAAGATGGCGTCAACGGCTTGGCTGCATGGCTCCTCAGTATTGCGACTAACTGAAGGTTTGGTGTCGGTTCTGAAGGACCAGCGTCCAGAACACTTACCCGCAGTGTTGGCCAGCTACAGAGAACATGGCGTTTTGTCAACTCAGGTAGACGGTGTTTATAAGAGCGACTTAGCCTTAAAGCTAACCATGAACCTGCTGCTTAGCTGCTATATGCTTTGTTGTTTACCGAGCTGGTGTTACAAAAATTAAAAATTAGATCTGAATTGGTGAAGAAGTAGATAATGTGAGGCGGCACCCTTTCGTGCGATACAATTTGCTAGAAGCGCCTATTCTTTAACACGCTGTTTCAGTCCAAATGTCCATACTTCTTTCCAGCGTTATTCTAATCTCGTGTTTACTCGTGTAACATTTGCGTGTTAGCTGGAAATTAAAACGTGTTACCAATTATAATGATAATGTTTGATACTGCGTATTGCGTACTAATTACAAGTATTACTACACACGTGACGGAGCACATGTGGACTCTCTTGGACAGTGGGCAGGAGTGTAGCCTTAGCTGAACGTTCTTCTTTAAAAAAAAAACAAACAAACATTACCTCGTATACATTATGAGGTTCATAAGCCAGTGTCCACTGAGAACCCATACAACAGTGGTGACCAACCTGGTAGACCCCTGGAGTACTTAAGGTGCCTGCAGGGTATTTTCAAATAATAAAACTAGTCAACAAGAGGGTTAAAAATGGTTGAATCAGTTAAACTTGCAATGATATTTAAATGGATGTAATGACAATGGTAAGAAGAGTGTCTCCTATTGTATGTCCCAGAACTTATTACATTGTTTGGAAAGCCTGTATTAAACAAGTAGCTCTTCAGATTACTAAATGCCCTTGAAGTAGCTCTCGGTTTCAAAAAGGTAGGTGACCCCTGCAATACAATAGGAGTGTAAAGTAAAGAAACACAGCATACAGTAACATTCATTACACAATGCAATAATCCAAGTACTACGGACAGCAATCTTTCAAGTCATTATTGTATATTTATATTTTCGAATTACTTACTATTTACCAAATTATCCAGTCAAATGTAAACACACACAAATATACTTTTATATTTTAAAATATAAAATATATATCTTCTTCTTTTCCTTTTGGCTTGTCCCTTTTTTCAGGGGTTGCCACAGCGAATCAGTGTTTTCCATCTCTCCCTGTTCTCTGCATCTTCTACTCTGATTCCAACTATCTGCATGTCCTCCCTCACTGCATCCATATATCTCCTCTTTGGTCTTCCTCTTTGTCTCCTACCTGGTAGCTCCATCTCTAACATTCTTCTACCAATGTATCCACTGTCCCTCCTCTGCACATGTCCAAACCATCTCAATCTGGCTTCTCTAGCTTTTTCTCCAAACCTTCCTGTCTGTGTTGTCCCTCTAATGACCTCATTCCTGACCCTGTCCATTCTTGTCACTCCTAAAGAGAATCTTAGCATCTTTAACTCTGCCACCTCCAGCTCCTCCTCCTGTCTTCTGCCTATTGCTACTGTCTCTAAACCATACATCATGGCTGGTCTCACCACTGTCCTGTAAACCTTTCCCTTCACCTTAGCTGACACTCTTCTGTCACAGATCACTCCTGACACTTTTCTCCAGCTCTCACCATTTCACTGTTTTCCTTTTCGTTTACACACATGTACTCTCTCTAGCTGCTGCCTACTCTCACTACAGATCACAATGTCATCTGCAAACAACATAGTCCATGGGGATTCCTGTCTGATCTCATCTGTCAATCTGTCCATCACCAAAGCAAACAAGAAGGGGCTCAGTTCCTTGATGTAGTCCCACCTCCACTTTGAAGTCTTCTGTCCTCCCAACAGCACACCTCACCACTGTTGTACTATTCTCATACATGTCCTGCACCAAACTAACATACTTCTCTGCCACTCCGGACTTCCTCATACAAAACCACAATTCCTCCCTTGGCACTTTGTCGTATGCCTTTTCTAAATCTACAAATACACAATGCAGCTCCTTACCTTTTCTGTACTGCTCCATCAGCATCTTCAAGGCGAATATTGCATCTGTGGTAGTCAACCTAGGCATGAAACCGTATTGTTGTTCACAAATTTAAAAATATAATATATATATTTTATATAAATATACAAATATATTTTATATATATATATTTCGTTTACAAAGATATATTCTTTCATTGCTAAATGATCAACTAAAGAACTTGTAATTGGGAAAATGTATTATAAACACATTTCTAAAATTTAATGGGGGAAATAAAGCCTGGCTATAGTTGGCCTCAAGTCCTTTACTCTTTTTGATTTCATAGCTGTGTATTTATCAACCTATATTCTCGCAAGGTGAGGAAAATCATTTTAAAATTTTTGAAATTTGATGTAGTTTCCGCATTTACACTGGTTTGAATGATGCATTTGAATTTCATTATTCATATCCTGCTTTCTTGCTGTAATCATCTGAGGTTACTGCGGCAATGTGTTACAGGTACTGTTTTCTGTGCCTTTGTTTGTATACAAAGCTAACATGTTTGCTTACCTTTTGCAGAGTGCAAGTACCGTTGGTGGATTGGTTGGTTATAGCAACGCTAAACTTGGCTCTAGCAAGACAAGGTGAGAGAGGCATTTTTAAACATTTCAAATGTTGATAACTGGCGGATCTGTTGAATCTTTTCTTTGTAAGCGTATATCAAAATAGATTAATAAAATATTTCACCAACGTCAACAAACTATTACAAAAGTAACTGGATAATGATTGCAGTTCATAATGATTTAAAATCTGAGTTATTTTTTTATGTATGTGTTCACATTTGTATGTGTGTGCATACACAGGTTTGAGGGACTTTGCCTGCTCTCTGTGCTGGTTAAAGATGGCTCCAGTGACTTGTTTGAGCAACATTGTCTCTCTTGGCTGCGGTCACTGCAGCAAGTCATACAGGTATCACAAACACACCAAAACAAGCTTGAAAATTATTTTGGATGTTGCCTTTTTTTTTTTTCTTTTTTTAATATAAACATCCCTCCTCTGCTGTGTCTTAGTCTCATGCCTCAGGTCAGACTATCAAGTTAGCTGTGAGTATTCTGAAGGATTTGCTGCAGTACTCCTCCCAGCTGCCGGAGCTGAGCCGGGAAGTGGGCCTCAACTCCATCCTGGGTATACTAACGTCTCTGTTGGGCCTCAAGGCTGAGGTGAGACAACATAGACGTCAAACAAACAGTGACGCACAACACACTGCAGACACACTTTGTCAGATAAACTGTTTTTTCTTCTGTTACAAATGCGTAGTGTTGATGATCTCATTGATAAATCTGATTTCGAGTAACACTATTCATCCCCACAGCTGTATAACTCTACAAGACCAGCTTAATGTAAAACTTTATACACCTCCTGTTTTTTAAAGTGTTATTTTAAAAATCAAAATCAAATCTATTTCTCTTCCTCTGTTTTTCACTTTCTCTTTCAATCCATTTCTATTTATCTTTCTTTCTGTCTCTATCTCACTCTTTTTTTTTTCCTCACCCATTTTCTCCATTTTTCTTCTGTTCGCTCTCTCTCTCTCTCTTTTTTCTCCTATAGTAGGCATGGGCAAATTTTTTGAATTGCAGGCCACAATTGTCCTAAAATTGAACAGGAACCCATGTTTCATTTCCTATGCCATCTACTGGGGAAACGTGGGTATTGCAAGGAAAAGGCAGAAGTATAATGATAATATAAATAAATTATATAATTTGGAAAAGTTTAGCTGGTGTAAAAAGCTGAACGGGCCACATCCAGTCTGCCCACCCTATAACAGTTGACTTAAAACATATATTTACAGTATTATAATATTTCCTGACAGTCAGTTCTTGTGGTAACAAGAGAAGTGAAATGGTTACACTAGTACCTACTAATTTATTGTGGTTTTATTAATTACTGATGAAAAGTTATGTTAAAAGTAATGTGTTGTGCTCCTTAAACCTAAACCTGTTTTATTTTTTTTCTTTCTGTGACTCCAGTGTGAGCTCTGGGCAATGGATGGGATGATGGCCTGTATGACCTACTACCCCAGAGCTTGTGGCTCTCTCCGGGTAAGAAAGATTCCATAGTTGATGAAGAATGATTTGTCTTTTTTTGTTGTTTGTTTGTTTACGTTAGAATTTTGACATTGACGCAAATATATATGTTTTCTAGGACAAACTTGGAGCATATTTCCTAACCAAAATGGACTGTACAAACAAGAACACACAAGAGGTTTGTCATGTGCCTTTGTGGTGGACGAGACGCTTAATGTTTTTTCTACTTTCTTCATGAAATATGTATATCTGTTCTTTTTTCTGGTTCTTGTTCTACCTGTTGTTGTTCTTCTTCCTTTTCATGTTCTTTGTCTTGTTGTTGTTGTTACTGTTCTTATTTTCGTTCTTTTTCTTAATGTTCTTTTTATTGTTCCCAAATTACCGTAATTTCCAGACTATTGAGCGCATCTGAATGTAAGCCACACCCACTAAATTAAAAAAGATTATTGTGTATTTATATATAGGCCGCACTTCTCTATAAGCTGCAGGTGTCCACGTTGTAACATGGGATATTTACACAAAACTACTTACACATTAGCTCTTTCCTGCTTCGGCAACCGTAGTTGGAATGCCCAGGAGAGACTTAGTGATCTGCTCCAGGGTTGAAGCTAACATTAGCTCCGGGGCTAACTCCCTTCACTTTGATCTTGTCCGCGGCAGAGGTAAACAGAAACAGTGAAGTTGGGGTCTTTATTATCAGCTACACCGAGCACAACAGAACATAAACAGTGTTTTAACGAGAATGCAACATGACAGGGCTCAAACTGTTTTCAACTGTTCTCTCTCGCGCCACACGCACATATACGCACACAGCCATTCACAGACAGACATATGCTACTAGTATAACACACAGTAGCCTACCAGAAAAGTAATTGATCGCTGGCAGTATGAGCTTTGTTAGCCCGTAAAAATCCATAAATTAGCCACATCAGTGTTTAACCTGCATGGTTCAAAGTGTGTTTTATAGTCTGGAAATTGCAACATTTGCCCTGACTGTCTTTTCTTTCAATTTCTTGTTCTTAGATGGCTAGTCAGTGCTACGGTCGCTTGCCTTGTCTCGGGGGCCTCCTGGACAGAGGAGTCAGCACTGGCAGAACAGAGGGCTGGACAAACCAGGTTCACTGCTTAGTGGCCTCAGCCAATGCACTGTTGGCTGAGATTTATCAAGGTTCAGAAACAGGTGCGTTCTTCATTATTAATGGTATTCTATTTTATAACTAATGGGTCCTGATTGGCTTGAATGAATGGGTCTTGATTGGCGTCTTGAAATCGATATTACGCAATGCATGAACACAATCAATTTTTATTACATTTTTCTCCCTAGGCTAGGCTAAGCTAAGACATCATCCTGATACGTGAGGTGATCGGTGCCATGTTTTGGTAACCATGAGAGCCACAAAAGGTTACTACTACGGGTTCCGTAGTGTAGCGGTTAGCATGCCTGCCTTGAAAGCAGGCTGCAGAGTCTCCTGAGTTTGACTCACAGAGGAACCACATATGCTTAATAGCATCTCTTTCGGCACCCTGTGTATGAGTCTGTGTAAAGACATGCTGTAAATCACCCCATTGTGGGACGTTTAAGGGACATTATTATTATTATTATTTACTGGATGATGACAAGGAAGGAGACCAACTGTGTTCAGGGAATCTTTGAATATTTAAGAGTAATTGCTCCTCAGGGAAACACTGCATGTAATAATGTTTGTTCTTTTTTATATATATATATATTTTTTTTTTTACCACTACAACAACAATGACTGTTTACACTATATCTGTATTACATTGTGTTTTGTGTCTCACATAGATTAACCCTAAATTTGTTCCTACTTGTGTGCTTTGGTTTTGGCGTTCACAGATGGAACAGTGCAGTATGATGGTCCAGGAATTGAGCTGGCTTTTCCTCACCTTGACCAAATGGATCCTTTGACGCTGCTGCAGCTCCAGCACAGATACACATCTGTTTGTCTAGCACTTAAACACACTCTCAGGTAAGAGGGTTTTTACATGTAACAATCACCCATATTTTTAAAAACAGTCTTAACCCTTCTTTTTTTTTTTTCACTAAAAAAAATTAACTAGAGTTTAGGGATTAAACTTGTAGGTCATTACAAAGGAATTATGCAAAAGTATGATTTATGTAATAATGATGTCCAATTTTTTTCATTGAGTTTTAAAGGGATAATAGAGGTACAGATAAAAACATAAGGAAAATTTGTTTGTTTTTTTATAAAAAAAAATGGTTATTGTTGTTTTTGCTCCTCAGGTCAGATCCAGCCTCACCTGTCCGTGTGCCCATTAGACCAGTCCTCAACTTAGTGTGCCGAGCCCTTGCTGTCAGCTGTAAAAGCATAGTAAGCACCAATGATTTTAAGACTTATTATGAATATTATTATTATTAAAAACGGTGAATGCTGTTAACAGCCATCCTTTACATTTTGTATGTGGGGTAAAAGGAAGTTGCGCTGAATTTAATTTGTTGTCTGCTTTGTCAGAATTTAACAGGTGACGGAAGCGTAAGATTGCTTATCCTGCCCAACATACACACCAGCACACTAGAGGTCCTGGCTGCACTAATCACAGTGTAAGTACACAATCACACACAGACTTTTTTGTATTTTGTAAGCACTTCACATAAACATAATGTATACTGTGTAGTGACTTTGACTGTTAAACATATATGACTAATCATATCCCTTACTCTAACTATAATCTAAGTATAATCCTTATCTGAACTCCAAAAGTATCACACAAAAAAAATGTTTAATTGCCACAGCACTACTGACAATTTGTTTAATTTTTCAATATTTTTGTCATTTTATTTGTTGTTTGTTGTACAGTCCATTGTAGCAGTGATAGTATACAATAAGTCATATTTTTCATGAACAGTGTGTTGTATGCTACTGTTTGCTGAACTGTGTACACACTGTCTTTTGCAGTGTACGTAGTGGAATGGTCCAGTACACATTAGTTTTGCAAAGACTGTTTTCCCAGACCTTGGCTTCCTGGACGCCTTCACATGAAGCAGGCGTCGGACAACAAAGAGCCTACAGGTAACAAAGTAACCTCTCGTACTTTATTTCTATTTGACCCAGCCTCATCTGTAATTAGGTTTCTTGTGATGTGAACTCTCGCAAAAGTACTGTGTAGTACAGTGTTTCGCAACAACACATATTTTACTATTGAAAGTCACACAGCAAACCGCCAAACACAAATGTCCCAAAAAGTATATGTAATGATGATGTACTAGTTTTAATATACATACTTGGTGTGAAATTGGAGCCTCATTAGTGGAACATAACACTGATTTACTGGCAGGAATTAAAGAAAGATTTAAAAAAAAAATCCACTTAGTTCTTCATCAACAGCTCTGATCCTTTTTTTTTTGTTTTTATAGCCATCTGCTGCCACCCAGTGGAAAAATATTTAATTGTTCTACCTGTTTCTGTTCAACAAACAAAAACAAATTATTTGCAATAAACAGTAGTAGTAGTTTTTAGATCACTTACCTTAAATTGATAATTTTCATATTCTTAAATGTTGAATATTTTGAACTTGAACTTGGATTTTGGTCTAACAGCTCTGTATCAAATCTTTCTTTGTTGTGTATTAGTTCAGTTCGGGTGTCGGTGTACCGAACCTTGGAACTGTGGGTCCAAGTAGCTGGAGCCTCTGCAAGCATCTTACAGGGAAGCCCAGTTCATTCAGAGCTCCTTTTTAGCCAGCTGTTGCGTGACATTGCACCAGGGGTCGACACTGGCAAAGTAAGTGTGTTCTGACTATGTTTAATATATTTTTAAGAACAGTTAAATGTTTTTTTTTTAAAACTAAAGATGACTAATAAAGGCAAAGTGTTTATTGTTTCTTTCAAGGCAGTAAATACAAGTTCCAACAAAATATCTGCTCACTGAGCTGAACCTGTTACCTGAGCCTTCCTTCAAAAAATTGTTCCCATGTCTTAAGTTAATGCAGTTGTTCTTAATTATTTTCTATTTATTTTTTAATTATTTTCCCCCTTCGACCCACACCCCCCACAAATTGAAATACTATTGAGAGCTTGATAACATATATTTTTATCTATACAAACCACTGTATGTTGCTGCCACCTAGTGACTGGAGGCTGGTTACCATTAAAACGTTACAGCAGTGGTACACTTAAGTCCAGCATGCCATATTCCATTGGGGGGGGGGGCAATACAAGCAAACTACAGCCTGCATACATTGTGGGCATAAGCCAGAGATATAGAGTGCATTGGCACCCATGAGAATAAAATACTTTCGACTAAAATACATCAACTTGTGCCACTCACATGTATGCGTCAATTTAATATTTTTCTGTTATTGCCTTAATGTATGTTGAGAAGAATATTTTGACACAACATTTTTCAGTACATAATGTGATCCAGGTAAATAAATGAATTGAGTCTTAAATTAATATTTGTGATATCAAAATGACAAAATGATTGCATAGACTCGGCTTATTTATTCTGGTCCATCAAAGGTTTTTTTTTTTTTTTCTTTCTTTTGGAACTTATCCCTGGATTTCTTCGCCAATAAAATTGGGATGGAGGTTAACATAGGAAATATAATGAAGAAAATGTGCAAATGACTACTATCCGTGTCTTATGTGTCTCTGTCCTCCAGCTCCGGTCTAGACTGTCAGCTGATGAACCTCTTGTAGAAAAGCTGGCCACACGCAGGAACAAGCCCTCGGTCATGGGAGATTCAGGCGGGACATCACTCCCCAGGAAAGGAGACCACTTGGCCAATCAAGATACGTGCCTTACAGCCCTTAGAGGTGATGTCTCCCTCTTGTCTTACCTGTCCTGTCTCTAGTTCCCGTAGCATGATCACATTGGATTTCTTTCTTGTTTGCAGCACTGAGACAAGTCATACTGACAAGCGGGGCCCTATTAAAAGATGATATGCACAAGGTAAATAAACAGCAATTCAATATTGTTCATCTGACAACAGACCTAAAGTGGGATTTTCATTTTGAAAAGTCCTTTTTTTGTTTAAAGAGGTTTTACTGGTCAGATCAATTTTATATGTACGTTACAATGTGGTGACAGGTTTTCATGTCTTTGGAATGTCTGCACACTCCTTACATAAGTAAAGGTTTCGACAACTACATAGGTATTTTATAATCTTCCAAAGTCCGGAATTGTATCTCAAAACGAACCGTTACATTTTCACCTGCTTTCTGATGGTGTGGGGGGGGCTGACTGTACCAGGAGCCACCATTTGCTTGACTTGTATGTGACTGTCAGCCTATCGTGTACAACCCAAAAGCTAAGCAGAGCAGCTGATTTAGCACAGCGTTAAAGGAACACCCATCACTGTTTAATATTATATAAACACTTGAGAAGCTAGACGCAGTTTGTCATCTGTATCTTATTTGCCCGAGTAGCTTACGCTTTCTTAGCGCCCATGCGCATAAATAAATCAATTGGTTGCTTCGCAGCCGAGACACGAATAGAAAGCTTACTCATAAACACAAAAGACAACTTTAAGGAAAAAAAAAACATAAATTAAACGAGGCAGATGAGAGCAGAAACTAAATAACCTGTAAAACTATTATTAGACTAAAATATTAAAATATGCCAATTTTGATATGTTCATATACTCAAAATGAAGGGAGCAATCTAACCCAGACAAGTTAGCTTACCGTTGTCAGGTGATATGCTATGTTTGTAGTCGAGCTGTGATATACAACTGTTGCTTGCAAACTTTGGATTGATCTTATTTTCTGTTATCTGTTTTTGTAAACGTTGCCACACCCTCAATGTTTTTTTGACATGGTAGAGGAGGACTGACTGCACCAATTTAAATAAATATTCAACTTTAAGCAATGTTTTACTGCAGTGAAAGACAAATAAAACGTTTTAAGTGTGAGCTTAGAATCGGAGCAGAAATTCAGATTCTACTATTCTGTATCTGTGTATTTGACTAATATAAATAATTTTCAACAGGAAACATTGTTTTTTTTTTGTGTGTGTGTTTTTTTTATTATGGCATAGCGTCTTCATGAAGTGGTGTTGCCCCTGTGCGTCCATCTGCAGCAGCAGCAGCAGTCCGGCAGCAGTATAGTGTATGATGCTGCGGGGCACTTAGGTGGCCAGTACAGGAGTTCCTTCGCTCGACGTGAACTGTACAGGTATGAAGTGCATTAACTATAAACCAGCAATTTATTTATATTCACATTTAGACTAACAAATGTACATTGTAAACAAAACCTCCTTTTTTTTTAACATGTTGCTTTAGCTCCAAATGTTAGATTTGTCCATTTTAAACTTCCTCTATAAACTATTTTGTTAGCACGCTATTCGTTTTGATTTTTCTTTGAGCTTAATGGTCATTAGTTTTTTTTAAGGTAATTTAATCAATTTTATTTTACCTTTGTTTATACTGCGAGAATATAAATTCAAATTAAACTGAAGCATTCCCGTAAATCTGTTCCAAGAGATGCTAAGACACCATAATTCTCCTAGTGGTTGCTAACGATACATTATTAGCTGTAAACCTCCCTAGCTTTTAATTAGGATGTCCCATATTAACTTTTTGCCGATATCCGATATAGTAATATTATCCAGAGATTAATAAAATGAGCTTCAATGGTGCCATCTAGTGACTGGAAACTTGTTTAACAGTTACGGGTAAGGGGGAGGGAATGAGGAGATGTGGTGAGAACGCATGTCTATGAGGAAGAGAGAGTGTGAGAGGAGGAAAAGGTGTTTTTGGAGAAGCTGGGTTGAGAGCATTTTACCTTTAAATACCAGATGTACTCCTACTTAAAATAATTAAAAACATTTTAGTTAATAACAAAAGATAATGGAACTGATATCTGATCAATGTCTCCTTAAGACTGTTGAAAGATTCTTGCTGTGGTGGTGTCTTCAGGCAAAGAGTGGAAGCAGCCGGTAGAAGGTCGATTTGTTTTATTGACAAACGTCAAGCAAAACAGGTCCAATAACAAAGCGAAATAACAACCGGGGAAATATTCAACGAACATACAACAAAGTTATATAGTACTTTAAAATATGTCTCTCTCTGTCATCAGTGGTTTATGCTTTTTATACGTATTTTTGGGGAGTGGTTTCGGCGTCCTGGGTGTGTGTTTAAATCTTATAGGCCCAATGGAAGAGAGAGGCTAGGCCTCTTGTGGCCAATCATATTATTGTTCTTGTATCATGTGATGCCCGCAGTTGCCACTATGTGGCACTGCTGTTCCATAATTCAGCAGTGTTGGAATAACCTTTTGTTGCTGAGTGGGGGGTTATTACAAGGGAAGTGGACGGAGCCATGAAGTCCAGTCAACCACAGGTGGTCATGTAGGTCAAAAGGAATGGATGGCGCTGGGGTTCCCTGTGAGAAGGTAGATTGGGAGATCTCCCATTGTTCCCAGGGAGTAGAGGTGTTTTTAGAAAAGCTGGTGTGAAGAGAATTTGGGGAAATTCTCTTTGAATGTGTGGGGCTGTGTGCTCGGGCAAGCCATTTGGTGTCTTATCAGCTTCCTGCTGCAGACCCAACCAAATGTGAAAACCACTGAAATCTAACACTGTGCATTCAGATGTTATCTTGATAACATATATATATATATATATATGTATGTATGTATGTATGTATGTATATATATGTATGTATATATGTATGTATATATGTATGTATATATGTATGTATATATGTATGTATATATGTATGTATATAT